AACGTGTGTACGTACGTACGTATGTACGTGTATATGCTCTTTGAAACGCGTACTCTTTTGGACTGCTTTCGAATCGGGTGAGAAACAGGTGACAAGAAGGGCACTTAAGTTATCAAGGCACATCAAAAACCAAACCATCGGACGTCTATTACATATATTCGAAATTAACTCGTGACTCGTGGGTTCCGTTTTAAAATTCATCGTTTTTTTTCTTTTTCTTTTTTCTCTCGCTCTTTCTTTCTCTCTCTTTCTCTCTCTCTCCCTCTCCTTTCTCTTTCAACGGATATAACTAACAACTTATCAACTAAAGCTAGATGCACACAGGGAGATATATCGATCGATTTATAATTGTGCAATAGAGAGGATGGACTGAATTCACGTCTTTGCGTTTATCGTTTATATACCTCGTTGATATTTCTGTGAAATTCGGTACGCGTAAAGCACGTGCTGATGTCGATTTCGTAACCGAGAGAAGAAAAATGGAAACGAAAGAAGGCAAATACACGTTCCTTTATACACGTACGATCCTATACGCAATCCCCCACTGTATCCTTGTCGCGCAATTAACGAAGAGAAATGGGAAAAAATTCTGAATCAAAATTCCTGTATCGTGGGTAAAATCGAAACCGAGGGTAAACCGAAGTTTAAATATTAGAAAATATTAGAAGAATGTTAGAATGTTTGTTCTCGTTCCTTTCCAAAGCTGACACCACGAGGTCCTCGTCCATTCGTCCGTAATACGTTTATCAGCCCTTATGCTAATTGGTAAATTGAGATCATTGGATAAAGAAGTTTCGTTCCCTCTCCCTTTTCCTTAGCTTTCTTTTTTTTTTTTTTTTTGGTTTGCTTTGTTTTGTTTTGTTTTTCGTCCTTTTTGCTTCCTTTGTCGTCGATCGATTTTTAATTCGAACATTGAAACATTGAAATCGATCCTTCGTGCACCGAGTCAAAGGAGCTCGAACGAAAACGAACGAAGCGAAACGAGGAGGGACGAGGAAACGCTCGAGATTATATATTTGCAGATCGTCGTTCAAAAATTTGCTTGGTGTGACTCGGATTTTTGCCAGGATTTCGCAAAAATCGCGTTTACTGAATGCCCATGTAATTAAACATCATTATCGTTTTTATCGTTCTTCGCGGCGACTAGTGGCCGCGCTTTTCCCTTTTCGCTTCCCGTTCCTAGTTCACGAACCCGTTTCTTTTTTATTATTTTTTTTTTTTATTACATTTTGATTTCATCGGTAATGTTCTTAAAGCCTACGGAACAACGAACATCTCGTTTTTCGTGAATTTTCAGCAAGCATTTTTGCCGAATCTCTCACCCTCCCTCCCCTTTCCATTTCTTTTCCTTCCCTTTCTCTTCCTTTACGAAATGACTTGTACACGTGTGCGTGAAAATTTAAGAAAAAGAAGCGGTTCGTCATCGGAATTGCAGGACAGTTTTCAACATCGAGATGCTCACTACTGTTCGAGACGATGAATTTTCTTTTTCTTTTTCTTCTTCTTCCTTTTTTTTTTTTTCTTTTTGAACAAGATCCAAATCGAAAGGTCGTCGGGTCGAGCGGGTTTACTTTTTTAGCTGGCCGAAACGTAATTTTAATTTTTCAAAAACCGACGACTCTGCGGAATAAATTTTCCTCTTCTCAAGTCCCGTTTAATCCAAACGTTTGCGCTGTTCACATGCACGATGTCAAAGTACTGCCCGGTCTCGAAATCTTAATGACTATTTGTGCGCTTAAGATACAGACTCGTCGATCGACGTGCTCTTCTTCGTGGTCGGCGTGTTTTTTCGAAATCGAGATTTCTTTTTTTTTTTTTTTTATTTCTTCCTTTTCACGCGACGATCGATCGATCGATACAGAAGTCTTCTCTAGCCAAATGTTCAGTATAATGCCCGAATCTCCTCTTTTTTTTGTTTTCCTCAATCATATTGAATGACGTCGGTTTACAAATACTTTTTAATAAAATTTTACAAATATGTATTTTACTGCAGGAATTTTTCCATCACCCGTTTAAATTTATAACCCATCGTTTTTTTTTTTTTTCCCTTCCCTCCCACCTCTATCCTCTCTTCCCGCTCCCCCCCCCCTCTCTTTTTTTCTTTTTCTTTTTTTTTTCTCTCCTCCCCTTCAGTTTCCCTTCCGTTCACCCTCCCTCGCCTTTAGACAATGCTATTAATCGAAAGTTAAGCCTAAAAAGTGGACGCCTGAAGTAAAAGTCGGATGAGGAGATGACAGGGGCCTATGGTATATATCTGTTGCCTGTTGGAATCGAAAAACCAAGTGGCGGAGTTTCCCGTAGTACGAGACGAGTATATGCAGAACGGATACGTCGATGGTAACGAAACATAACCGGACACACTTGGAAAAGTATTCATTTTTTCTTCCTCTTCTTTCTTTTTCTTTTTTTTTTTTTATTTTCTTTTTTTTCGTTTTTATATATTACACATCATTATTATCTTCCCTCCCCTTCCCCCTTTTTAATTTTCGTTCTTTTCAACCTGAGAGAATTTTTTTCCCTAACCAACTATGTAAATGCTGAATAATACATCGAATAATACATCATAGAAATCTACATTACGATTTATTTTTTTACTTTTTATTTTTTTCTTACTTTTTACTCTCTTTCTAATATACATAAACGACCACGACTCTATCCTTTCTTTTCTTTTTAAAACCCCCGTTCAATTTTTGCTCACACCCACCCACCCCTTATCGAAAATACGTTAGTTAATGATTAATATCGCGGTATAGATTAATAATAATAATAATAATTAAGTATTGGGTATAATAGCGATCAGAAGCGAAAGAAGTTCCAGAGAAAGAACAAGTAAGTTTTCTTTTTAACAATTCGATAATTCGAGAATGTAATGAGAAATTAATTCGAAGAAACGAGGTGTCGTCAAATGAGATTTTTTTAAAGAGTTATGTTTATGTTTATACACATCGCCGTGGACCGTTAGCAAAATTTACATCGTTACATAGCGTCCAGTGTGGGACGCGAGCGTCATTTAAATCAGCTTTTGATGATCTGCAAATATATCCTCGTCGAGGATATAGCCTCCCCTTCTCAATCCTCGTCGATATTCCTCAATAAATAATTCGTTCCAAATTTTTAGAGATTATTTTAAAACGAGATTGCCAAATATTTTCCAAAAAAAAGAAAAAAAAAAAACTAATCCATACATCGATTACAAACGAGAACAAATATATACAAAAATATAATAATTCATCGAAGAAGCAACAAGTTTTCTTCCAATACCAATTTATAAACCAATTTATATATTCTAATAATTCTTCGTCTCCTTTGTTTCAGTGCACACACTCGTCCCCCCCCCCCCCCAAAAAAAAAAAAGAAAAAAATTTTACATATCCCCAAAGATTCCCGCGAACGTTTTCCGAAGATTCTTCATCGTGTCTTCGGTGTCCTCGCTCTGTGATTGGCTGCCTTGTCTGTGGAAAGGTACTCTCGATGTCGGAGCTTCGTCTTGGCGTCGGCCAACCGACGGCGCGCTGCTCACTGTACTCGATTGCGACGCTGCGAAGAAACGGCGAACGTTATCATCGGTGTGTCAATTTTTTGACTCGGTTTGAGTCACGCGATCGGTAATAATCAGTAGTAATTCGAGACCTTGAGAATCGCGTCGTTGCAGTTGATGGTGGCTGTCGGAGGTGGTCACGTCGCCGGCCACTGCTGTCGTCGAGCCGACCGAACCCAAGCTTCCTATGCTAGCCATCGATCCCATGCTCCCGTGCGATCCCAAGGGAGCTGTTGGCGGCATGGCGCGATCCTCGACGGGACTCGTCGCTTGGCTCGAGCCGGACATCGATCCTCTCGATGTTGTTTTCGTCAAAACGCTCGGCGGCCGGCAAAATGCCTGGATAAAAATTACATAATTTCTAAGGAAAGAAAAGGGAAGAAGAATAGAAGAGACGAGTAAGGAGAGTCTATCTAAAGATCAAAGGTGTTCGGATCTATTCGAAGGCATGTTTCTTTCTTTTCTCTCTCTACCTGCATTTTGGCGGTGACAAGATCCGCGATGTGGCGACGATCCTCCTCCTGCGAGTCTCCCATCAACGATAACGCGCTATCGTTCACTTCGATTATGTACTCTCGGCCATCCTTGCCGACCAGCAGCTCGATCGCGCAGATGTCCAACCCGCCGAACAATTGGGCCACCTGGTCGACCCAGGCGCGATGTCTCTCGCTCACCGCTAATTGCTCCAACATCGCCGAACCGGTGTTAGATTTCCAGTTTCCGCTTATGCTCTTCCGCCTGGGAGGAACGAGGATCAGGAGAGCTCGTTAATCAAGTGTCTTCAACTCGAACGTCGGGGTTAACCATCGACGATCAACGATGAAGCGGAATAAGTTTTTCATTCGGTCTAATCGAGATTCTGATTTATTGAGTGATCGATATTCTCGATCGATATCTCGATATATATATATATAGAGAGAGAGGAACGAGAAAAAGGAAAATTGAGAATCGAGAGAGGATATTTTTTTCCTTCGAATGGTATAACGGTATCGCGTTCATCGTTAAACGGTGAAAAGTGTAGAGAATCGAAATTCGTTCTGGCACGGTTACGTAATCGACGTTTCAGCTAGTCGAGGGTTAAGCGACACGTTCTAATTTCCATGGTGACCCGGTATATACACCGGTGGACAAGCTCGACTCGGTAACATTTACGGCAACGAGAGATCTGGGGGATCGATCTGGCAGGCGTATCGAGATACTCACATGAACGCCTTGTAGTTATTGCCTATTTTCTGCACGTGGACGTCGTATTTGGTATCGACATACGGTTCCGACGTGCAGTAAGTGTTGGCCAAAGCAGCCAAAGAGGCGAGATCTAGAAACTCTTGATTCGTCTCGGCACGGGCTTTTCCCACTCCTCCGTGGGCGTGTCCAAGTTTCACCACGACCGGGTAACGAGATGCACTCACCTGTAAAAAAAGGAAAGAAAGAAAGAAAGAAAGAAAGGAAAAGATCATTCGTTCAATCGGAAAGAGAGAATCGTAACGGAGAATTGTACGTACATACGAATCGATCGAATCGAATTTCTCCTCCCTAGATCGTCGATAGATCTCGTGCAACGTTTCACGTTTTCTACGACGTGGAAACGCATATTCGTGGAAGAATCTAACCGGATATAAATCCGGGAGAGTCATCTCGAGCGGGCGAGAATCGTAGAAAGGAACGAGGTTTTCGTAGCGTTGCGATTATTCGATACAATTTTCTCGATGCGATTTCAACGTGGCCACTAAAGATCTCTCCGCGTGGAGAATCGATTAACAATGCACGCGGATTATATTCTGCATTCCCCTCTAATCAGAGGCAGAGAACCAGTCGGATGGGAGGACGCCTACAGCAATATCTGGGGCTAGTCTTCGGTGATCGAATACATTAACCGACATCTATGGATGAAGATCAAAGTCAGCCGATACGCGGGCGGTTGATTAAGCAGTCCACGATATTCGCGTGGGATGGATTATTAAATCGTTGAAGATGCCGCGACTCTAGTTGCATCCGTGCAACGAGATTAAAAACGCGGTGAAACGAGCGTGACTGAGATCTTGGTGGAGATCTTGATATACGACAGAGAGACGGTTGAAAATATAGCGTGAAATGGACGTGGTGGAGCCGTTGAAACGAGGAAACGGGGAGAATGCACGGAGAGTTCGAAAATCGTGCACACTCCCATCCAATCGGTACCGGTTTCGATCCTGATAATCGCGGAGTAGGATGTCCAGTCACGAATCTCACCCGATTCCACGGGGGGAGGGGAAAAAAAAGGGTGAAGGCGGTTAAAATGTGAACGTTCTCTCCCGGTTATCCCGTTACCAGATAACCAAAGAATTCCACGTTAATAGAAACGAATCGAGTGGGATCGAGTGGGAAATTCCTGGTAAAAGCCACGCTTGATCCCTTTTTCGTTCTTCTTACTCGCGTTCACTATTTTCTCGGAACTTGGAATTCATGAATTTCGATCGATCGAACGTAACGCTCGTTTTATATCGTCTTGTTACGCTCAATACGATCAATGGAAACGAGTCGGCAGAAATTTCGATAAATTGCTTCAGCCTCTAACCTTTTCATTCCATATTGGATGTTGCGCACAAACGCGTCGTTTTTACAATAAAATTATTTTCCACGCGGTTCAATCCGTTCTCGGAACAAATTCAAGTATACGTGTCGATAAATCAAGATCCGTCGGAGCCGAGTCTCTCCGTTTGCACAATGTTTCACGGACACGGGGCGCGTGCGTATAGTCGTGTATTCAGAAAACTTAATCACGAGACCGTGTTTACAAACCGGGTTGACGTAGAAAAAGGAAGTGGCTGTTGAACGAATCCACGTCTGATGGGCGCACGTCCGGCCACCGCGGGCAGCCAACGCGCTGATTCCCCCGATAGTGCTCAAACGTATCCGTAGCCACGTGTTTGTACCGGCACGTGGGTGTCGCGAAAGTGGCTTTCTGAGCACCGCTGGACGCGTGTCCGTTCCATCCGCGTGGCACGAACACCAACGACGGGGATCAACGGCGAGGGAGACACGGAGATAAATCATTTATCGTGCTCGAGGGGACTTTGGAGGAGTCCGAGGGGCAGGCCAGACGTACGCAGGGGGTGTCACCTTCGATTTTGTTCGTCGTACTTGAACGCACTAAAAATATAATACGGCCTGCCGCGCTCACGGAACGGAACTGCGTCCACACATCCGCGGGCTTGAAATAATTTTTTTCACCATTTTAACAGAGATTTCACGTTTTAGAATCCTTGGATCCTCTGCCGATTGATTATAGCTGCACCGATTCGGATTTTCGGACGATCTCGACCCAAGATTTTTCGAGACGAAGAAATTTTTATCTCGATCTGATCCGATCGAGAATCGAGAAATTAATTGATCTCTCGATCAACTTAAGAGAATTCACATGTTTGAGAAATTTCCAGATACCGAGATTGGTATGGATATATTGGTATTCGATCCTCGAACCGGAGCCTGATTTATAAGTACTTCACGATACTCCACGGATAACCGGAGCACGTCTATTTCTAATTCGCTCCGAGGTATATCTCGGCTCACGGTTCAGCGGCGTAAGTTTTTTTTTTTTTTCAAAAACTCCCCGTGTTTTACGAGATTAAATCACGTGTACACGTAATGCGTATAATAAATATATAATTAATTCCCGTGTAACAACAACGATACGTGGAAAACGTACGAAGATAAGAAGCGCACCAAGCTATCGAATTTACGATTGGATCATCGCGTACCGGGGGCCCGAACAAACATTGCAAACGGGCATATTTTATCAGTGCCCGTTTATCGCTGTTGTCGTACGCCAAGCCTCCTTCTCTCTCTCTCTCTCTCTCTCTCTCGCTAATACGTTCGCAATATCTAACGCAAAGTTTCCGAACACGAAATAACGAAGGTTGGCCTCTCAACCCCCTCCCTTCGCCTCATCGTTTCGTGAAAGGGAACTGTAAAAAGGGCCCCGGGACGTATTAAATGATAGTAATCGTGGATCAAACGGTGATGAGCGGAACCCCCGCGAGCACGTTTCGGCGAATCTCAGAGAGATTGGATCGCGGTGCACTCGTGGGAGGGAGAAGGAGGGCAAACGGCCAAGAAAAATGTAGATCGACTACGATGCTCGAAACACGAGGGCGTGAGACAGAGACAGAGGGAGAGAGGGAGGGAGACAGAGAGACGAAGCGTGCACCGGTGCGACAGAGAGAAAGAGAGGAGAGAGAGAGAGAGATGGCAGGCGCGAGAGAGATGGAGGACTGTGGGTGGCCGGCAGGAGACGCAAAGCGAGCAAAGGTATACACACCGATAAAGTGGGGGATGAGTGAGAGGTTGGAAGGGAGAAAACTCGAGTGGTGGGGGTTGGGAGGATCGTGTACGTGGACAGAGACGGGATGAACGATAATGAAAATGCGGGACGGAGATATAGCGTGAAACGACGTCGAAACGAGATGGAAGGAGAGAGAGAAAGAGAGAGAGAGAGAGAGGCGTACGGTGGAGAGCAAGGACACGAGGAAAGCTGGGATGTAGCGTAAAAATAAGAGAGAGAAAGAGAGAGAGAGAGAGAGAGAGAGAGAGAGGAAGGAAGAA